TTTGTAAGTCACAGGCAATTTTTATCATTCTCTAATTAGATAAGGAGAAAAAAATGAACTCTTGGGTAGCAGAAAGAAGCAAGTGTCTTCAAGAGTCTGGCATCTGCAAGGAAAGAAGGGGAGAAAAGAATTCTTAGTACCTTTCAATGATAAAAGCACCAACAACATCTGACAATAGGCCATACGATTATCTAATTAAATTCTTGTGGTCTGCTGGACGAAGCTGCTGTAACGGCAGAACACGAAGGATGACCTTCTGATCCTTAGCTTTAGCACCACTGTGCACACAGAAACTTGCTAACTGCACTAAAAACATTCTTTTTTTTCTTTTTGAGACAGGGTCTCGCTATGCAGTTCAGGCTCGGCTTGTGCTCACTTGTAGCCCAGGCTGGTCTTTTTTTTGTTTTTTTTTTTCCGGTATTGGGAATCGAACTCATGACCTCGCACTTGCCAGGCGCCAGGCTGGTCTTGAACTCACAATGATCCTCCGATCCTCCTGCCTCAGCCTCCAGGCGTGCGCCACCACGCCTGGCTGAAGATTCTTTTTTTTTTTTTTTTAAAGACATTCTATGTAACACTGATGTATACTTCCTGTGTCAGCAGTTTCACAAGTGAGGAGATCATCAGAATTGACTCTCCAGGAAATTGACTCCTTCAGGCGATTCTGGGCTAATTCCAGTTCACTTACACTGACCTTTTTCCTCCTCTTCTGTACTCTACTCCGTCATTAATTCAACAATATTTTTGAGCTATTACAATGTGCACTGAGAATAAAAGTTAATTTGGCTTTACTCGCTTCTGTGGTACTTGTCTAATAAAAAGAGGAGTTACTGAGAAAAACAAATGGGGTAAAGTGCATTAAGTACTAAGGGAACAAAGCCTTTTTTTTTTTTTTTTTTTGGTGCCAGGAACTGAACTCAGGACCTTGCACTTGCCAGGAAGGAGCTTGTGCCGCTGAGCTACATCCCCAGCCCCTAAGCATTCTTGTATACTGTACGTACACTTAAGACAAATTATACCCATAAATTCCTTATGGGAATGAATCATGTCTTCTATTTCTCCTGTACCCTTCCAAAGAAACTAGAGAATTCTATTACACGCATTCAAAAATGATGCATCATTTGGCCTTGTGCATGCAAGGCAAGAACTCTACCGCTGAGCCACACCCCCAGCCCAGAATCTGAAGACACATCTGATGGAGACAGAAGTCTCTCTGAGGTTTTAATCTTCACAGTCGTCGTTTTTATTAGCTAACTTTCATGTATGACCACTGAACAACTTGTGCAGTACACCAGAGAAAAACTCAAAGTCCACTGTCCGTCCAGGTGCGCTCAGTGTATGCTTTCTGCTACACCCCAATGCTGTTGTGTCTCTCTCCCTAGTGGGACCAAACCTCATTTTCTCACTTTCAGGTATATGCAATAATTATAGGGGCTGGGGGTTTAGCTCAGTGGCAAAGCGCCTGCCTGGCAAGCGCAAGGTCGTAAATTCGATTCCTGGTACCGGAAGAAAAACAAAAACAAACAAACAAAAAAAATTTAAGTCAAAATCTACAGAGAAAAATGGGCAATACATAGAAGATGAATACTGTTCATAGCTAAGAAGTAGTTTCTTTCGGCCTCTCTCTCTCTGGCAGTAGGGTCTTGCCGTGTATTTCAGGCTGGCCTTGAACTCACTGTGTAGCCCAGGGTGGGATTACAGATGTGTGCCACTACGCCCGGCTCATGCTTTGGGCATCTCTCACACTTCTCAGCAGAAGCAGCATTGGTTTTTGGTATAGAACGAAGCCTAATAGATTCACCTGCCTCACTGTCCAGAGTGAGTGAGACTGGAAAGCAACAGGCAGTTATTCATTTATTCCATACACAGTCACGAGCTGGGGGTGGCGGCGCACGCCTGTAACCTCAGCACTTGGGAGGCTGGGGCAAGAGGATCACTGTGAGTTCAAAGCCAGCACGGGCTACATAGTTTTTTTCATTTCTGGTTAAGACAGGGTCTTGCTACGTAGTTCAGGCCGGCCTTGAACTCAATATAGTCCAGGCTGGCCTCGAACTCACAGTGATCCTCCTACTTCAGCCTCCAAAGTGCGGGGATTACAGGGATGCACCACCATACCCGGCAGCCTGGGCTACACAGTTAAATCAAGGCCAACTTGAATTACAATACTGAGACACGGTCTCAACCAACCAACCGAAGTTCCATCAATCATAGTCACTAAGGCCTACTATCTGCAAGGGAGCTGGGACACAACACCATTCCCAGCCTCTGTAGTATTTTCTTTGCCGTGAGCTATGTGGCTGGGCAACTTCAGCTGAGGTAGCAACAGCTTGGCTCTGCCATGGATATATAGAATAAACTCAAGGCTTCATCTGTGAAAAGTAAAAGGTTTTGGTTTCTTCGTACAGATTTTTGTGCTAGGCGTGGTGCCTCAAGCCTGTAATCCCAGCACTCGGGAGGCTGAGGCAGGAGGATCATTGTGAGTTCAAGACCAGCCTGGGCTATAAAGTGAGCTCAAGGCAGCCTGAACTGCATAGTGAGGCCCTGTCTCAAAAAGACAAAAAACAAAAACAAAACCATATAGATTTTTGTGAGGTTCCGCTCACTCAAATACTCAGATGAAATGAACAGTGCAAGATTCTTAAGAGATCCAAAACTTTTAAGTGCTCATTAAAGAGAGTATGAATTTTTTGATGAGGATTAAACTGTACCGCACAGGGAATGAATTGCAGAGCAGTGAAGCACAGCTGCCTGATTAATCTCAGTCCATTAAAAGAGGCATGATAGATCTAGAATGTAACTTTGATGTATAAAAAGGCAATGTGTACTAATGTTAGGGAAAACAACTTAGCATGTTAACAGAATTCTAATTTAACCAGTAAATGCCTATTCATTAGTGTGTAAAGCTGTAACAGAAGCTATAGCCTTAAGAAACACATGCACACACTAAAGTTTAATTTGGTACCATAATCTGAAAGAAAATTGGACCTAAATTGCTTTATGTCCAGTTAAATCTTGCAATCATCTAAAGATATAGTGATATAAACTGAAATACTTACTTGAGAAAGATATTCAGTTACTGTGCATTTCCATCTACGAGTAGAAATATTTCAAAGTAAGTACACCATGTCAACCGAAATCCGCTTCATCCCCTGTTTACTAAACACAAATGACTTATTCCTGGGATATACTGAATCATAAAAGTAGAATCATTTAAATTGGTGATCAGATTCTAATTCAGAGCACAGGAAAAAAAAAAAACAGTCCTTTACTGATTCAGCCTTTTAGTACATAAGTTGGTAATCTCATTTTTTGTATCCAAGGTAAAATATTTTAAAAGGAATATCTGGCAACTCAAATACTATTTCAAATAGTAACAAAGGATGAAATCAAAGGAATCTGAATTTAGGAACACATTAAAAAATATAAACTTGTATTAAACAAAAATCACACCTTCTTTGGTATTCTGAATGTAGGAGTTCTTTTATAAGAATATCAGCTTTCCACATAAAGTCAACATTGAACCTAACCATTGAATTTGATTCAATTCTCATCCCATTCGGTTTGCAACCAGAATTGTGGAAAGAACTGAGTTTGTGAACCAAGGCACCACTGTGTTCGGATAGGAATTTAGTAGCAATACACCCAGCATGGCCTAGGATGTCTAAGGAAGACATCTGAATTCCATTCCTTATGCTGGTTCTTAGACTTACTACTTTTTTTCTTTATTCATTTCCTTTTAGGCTCCTGCAATACAAATGGTGATCCCAATTCTGTTTTGATACCATGCCTGGAAAATTAGAGATGACTTCCTCTTAGTCCAAATTAATAGTCTTTTTATTGGTCCCCGAATTTACTCATGTTACTTGATGTCAGTGGTTATCTCATCTTGAAAATATTCTCCTGGATTCTGCGCTCTTGTACTTTCTTTTTCATAATTTTTTGTTTCTAACCAACGTCAGACGTAGGGTGAGGTAAGTGAGACGCTTAGGATGTAAATTTCAGAAAGCATTTACTTTCACGGCCATGTACGTGAAGGGTGTTCAGACAGAAGAAATCTGAACAATTAAGAGCATTTTTTTTTCTAGCACAATGAAAGGAATAAAAGCATTCTGCCTCTATCTCACTCACTGTTTTTCCATGGCAGAACGTACGGCAGAGACTTGGGAACTCTCATGCCTGAAGCCAGGTTGCTCTTATGCTCCATAACTATGTTGCTAGCAGTGCTGCAAAGAAAGCAATGTAATGATGTCAGCATTATCTGTACTCCTCAGGCAGGTACATGTGAGACAATCAAAGTATATTTTGTAATTTGAGTGCAAACAACAACACACATTCATGTGAAAGAAATGTAAACACATTTCCCTCAAAACACTCCGGTCATTAGAATGAGTATTGTTTCTCTGCAAAGTTCTCCGTTATACAGGCATTAAGATGAGTCTTACTATTTTCATTTTCCAGAAATTGAGATAAACAGCAATGCCATCTACTGTTCAACAGTATGACAGCTCATTAACTCACTCAGTAAACATACGAGATAAACTGAAATGCCATTCGATCTAACCAAAGGCAGGAAATCTCACAGAACTGAGGTAAAATTAAAATTGTAATCAATGGAATTCATCTTTAAGTTTCTGCCTTAAAATGCACATAAAACAGTGTATACTTGAAATTATTGTGTAACTCCATTTTTTTTGGCGGGGGGACAGGGGCTTGCTGTGTTCAGGCTGGGCTCTAACCTGCAGTGATCCTCCTGCCTCAGATCTCCTGAGTGCTACGATTACAGGCATGCGCCACCATCTCCAGCTTGAAATTGTTAACTGATTTTTGAGATTAAGATATAAAAAAAGCACCTTATTTGGGGAAAATTGAAGTTCCCGCCTTATTCCTTCTTCTTTTTTTTTTTTTTTTTTAATCTTTTTGACACAGGGTCTTATTATGCAGTCAGGATGGCTTGAACTCACTTTGTAGCCCAGTCTGCCCTCGAACTCAGTTATTCTCCTGCCTCAGCCTCCTGCGTGCTGGGATTATAGGTGTGTGCCACTATGCCTGGCTCCTTCATTTTCTAATACAGAAATAATCTTACTTAGATTTGAAACTTGATCTTCTAAGATCTAAGTATTGGCAATAATGAGGAATCTTACGGTTTTAAATTAGATACAAAAATTAGTGGGAAGAGATACATGCTTTTCTCTACCCAATAGATAGTCTGGACTTTCCAGTCTCAAATAAAAAGAATTTTTTTAGTAACTTTTTTTGAGACAGGGTCTTGCTACATGATTCAGGGTGGCCTTGTACTCCTGGGCTGGCCTGAAACCTGCAGCAACCCTCCTGCTTCAGCCTCCTAAGTGCTGCAATTACAGGTGTGCAACACCACACCAAGCCTCAGAAAAATTTTTCAAAGTATTAATTAAAATAATGTAATTTAGGCCAGGCGTGCTGGTGCACGCCTGTAATCCCAGCGCTCAGGAGGCTGAGGCAGGAGGATTGCTGTGAGTTTGAGACCAGCCTGGGCTACAAAGTGAGCCCAGCCTGAACTGCACAGCGAGACTGTTTCAAAAAGACAAAGAAAGTAAACTTAACAAAAAATCCAATTAAAACAGAAGCATGTCTGGTGCCACTGTTTTCCTTATTAAGACTCTAAGATACTATTTTTGCATTCCTAATAATTAGCACAAAGCACATATCCTTTTCATGAATCAGGGACCAAATAAGGAAAAACCCAAACAAGCATAAGCTATCACCAAAGAACACCATCGAGGGAAGACAGTGGGTTATTTTCGGTAACAGGGTACTGATTTGGGAAGGAAGAGCTAAGAATGAGCCCATTTCATTTACCTGTTGTTGCCACAGAAGCTGGCTGTGCCCCAGACAAATGGGGTGCTAGTCTGTTCCCACAAATCTGCCAAAGGAAGCAAAACACAGTTTGCGATACTACTAGACAAGGTATCCGTTCATGACAGTTGAATGTGTAAGATGGAAATTAATACACCAAAGTTAGGAGATGCAAGCGAAAATTGATCAAGTACTTTCCCCAAGTGACAGAGAAACAGGAATTTAATTGAAGAATATAAACACTAGCTCCATAAATAATAATAAACGTGCCCAGTAACAATCAAACACAGATGGCACAACACAATTTATGGAAAAAAACAGATGTAAAGAAGTGCCTTTTCCAATCAAGAGGGAAAGGCTGTTCTACATGTCTGCACGGTGATGCAAATGTGCTCATTTTGCGGCCTAATAAAAGTAACTATACATTCCAAACAACACGATATGTTCATAAAAAGGAAAATCTTCCTTCTGTTTTAAGCAAATGACTTGAGATTTAGACATGATAAAGAGAAAGATGTGAAGGCGCTTCACCTTTGTCCCAGTCTTCATCACAAGGCGGGCACTGCCATGTGCTCTCAGACAGTCTCTCTTGTCCAAGGTTCCTGGTCTGATTGACTGCAAGACAACAGAAATTTGACATAGAATGGGGATACAGGGGCTGGGGATTTAGCTCAGCGACACAGTGCCTGCCTGGCAAGCACAAGGTTGTGAGTTCGATTCCTGGCACTGGAAAAAAAAAAAAGAATGGGGATGCTGCTAAGTTACTGTGTTTTTTAAATTTATTTTTGTCTTTTTGAGACAGGGCCTTGCTATGCAGCTCAGGCTGGCCTTGAGCTTACTTATGTAGCAGAGGCTGGTCTTGAACTTGGAATGATCCTTCTGCCTCAGCCTCCTGAGTGCTGGGATTACAGGTGTGTGCAAGTTACTGTGTTTAAAGTAGTTATAATAGTGCAGTAACCCTAGCACTCAGAGACTGAAGCAGGAGCATCACCAAGGTCAGCCTCGTCTACACAGTGAGTTCAAGGCCAGCATGAACTACACAGTGAGACTTTGACTCAAAAAACCAAAAAAAGGGACTTAGTTTAAGAGGAGTTTGCAGGGTAGCTATGGGTCTTTGTTTCTAAAATACAGATAGCATGAAAGCTAAACAGGGTCTTACCTCTTTGCTGATAGAAAACAAGAAAGAGAAACAAAGATATTTACCATGTTTATGGCAGTAAAAAGATTTTTAGATGATTTATGAGTAAAATCAGTCAAGCTGTTCGGAAGAGAAAGAAACCTGACACATAAACAACCAGGCGACCTATCGCTGTTATCGGGCAAAAATCTCAAAGGCAGGGAAATATTTTTGTTCTGAAGTGGTGAAAGCCAAAAATCAAGTTGACAGTGCACACAATACAGACTGGAACGGGCGAACCTACGTCACTGAGACATCTGAGCTCGTCAGGCTTACCCACATCCTGCTCAATGCAGCTCTTGTCATCACAGCTTGAGATATGGTGACTGATTTCAGCCCGAGGAACCTGGTGACGAGCATTGAAGGGACAAGTAGCCAATTTGTTTGCAACATCGGGATGATTCTGTGGAACAAAATTTTGGAATCTGTCAGTTCTTTGGAACTCTTAAATCCCAGGGGAGTGGCTCAGCCTTATTCATTTAAAATTCCTCCATAAACTTAATGGCTGGACTATGGTAGGCAAATTTCATAGAAAATTTAGAGGGAATTATTTATAGACCATTCAAATGTTACTTTGAAACCATTAAATAGATGCCTCTTTGTTATGATTATAGAGACAGACAATGTAGATATTGGAATTTAAGTGGCTTACACAGAGCTAAACAGTAAAAATGAACCATTTTTTCTTCCTCTGTTTATTTCTCAGTCACAAGATTCAGGTGGCACAGCCTGTAATGGTGGAGCTCTCTGAAAGCTGATATTCAGGATAAATAGGAACACTAAACACACTCAGTCTGCACTGCAGTAGTGCCCCCGCTACCGCAATACAATAGTCTGGAAAATAGCTGTTGTAAAAGAGCTGCAGAAGAAACAAACCAATGATTTTTCAGATTAACACAGGGACACTTATTTAAAGTAATGATGCCTGAAATGAGGCTCTGAACAATTTGACCTTTATTTCAGCTATTTCACTAAGGAAAAATCTGAAGGTAGAGACTACTTTGCTGACTGAGTTTCTTGTTTTAAAGAAAGAAAAGGTTTAAGATCACCCAAATCCTGTGGTGAATACATCAACAGTTAAGAAATTCATTAGCAAAAGAAAAAGATGTTACAGGGGCTGGGGATTTAGCTCAGTGGCACAGCGCCTGCCTGACAAGCGCAAGGTTGTGAGTTTGATTCCCGGTACTGGAGAAAAACAAAAAAAAAAAAAAGAAAATAAAAAAGAAAAAGATGTTACAAATGAAACTCAAAAAGTAAAAATTCTGTGACACACGGAGAATGCTAGAAAAACCTGCAGGAGTATCACAAGTTCGAGACCAGCTTGGCCTACAAAGTGAGCTCAAGGCCAGCCTGAACTGCACCAGCTTGGCCTACAAAGTGAGCTCAAGGCCAGCCTGAACTGCATATCGAGACCCTGTCTCAAAAACACCACACAAAAAAAGAAAGAAAGAAAGAAAAAGAAAACTTAGAGGATTAAGAAACTTATTAGGGCAGACATCTTCACTTTTCATAAGGAGAATCAGGCATTTCATCCAAAGGTGTTAGGGACAAAGCTTAAGGACATCAGAAAATAGAGGAGTTAGAATAGTGCCTTTGTATTACTTTTCTCTCCTTCCCAATTTTTATCCTGAGGAAATAATTTGAGAGGCTACAGGAGGAAGATGTAGTGACACTTGCTGATCCATCTTGTTCAGGTTTAATTTTAAGTGACCCTTGTTCCAGAGATTAAAAAGAGCTAAAGAAATAATCAGCAAGGCACACTATGTTTCCAGGACTGTAAGAGGAATTTTTTGTTTGCTGTGGATTGGACCCAGGGTCTTGTGCCTACTAAGCACATGTTCCCCCACTGAGCTACACCCCCAGCTAACAGAAACATTCTTTAAAGGATGTTAAATCTGAATTGTAAGCAGTTTGGATTAAATACTAAAACTTTTCCAAGTTTAAATTTTGACTGAATTTTGGTCTCTGTATCTGACATCTTCATTTTAGCAATCTTGTCAACATGTCTCTTAATTAATATAGCTCTAGTTTATATCTAAATCTATAAAAGAGTGACCAGAGAGACTTTTTTTTTTGTCTTTTTGAGACAGGGTCTTGCTATGCAGTTCAGGCTGGCCTTGAGCTCACTTTGTAGCCAGGCTGGTCTTAAACTCACAATGATCCTCCTGCCTCAGCGTCCCGAGTGCGCCACCACGTCCGGCACCAGACAGACCTTTTTTTAAAGATGGTAGAACTTGGAAAAAGTTATTTTTAGGAGTATTATTTTCTTGAGCTAACCTCTAGTTGTTCATCCTCCTAAAATCTCTAAACAAGAACAAAAGTCAGAAAGATACATATTGTAGCACCTTGTTCTTTCAGGACAACAAACACATCAAATTTGTAAGATAACAGGGATTTCTCATCCCTAACAAAAAGTAGTGGTTTTGTTTCTTTCCAAACAATAAGATCCAGAGATATGATTTATAAAGGGTGCTTTCTTACTACTCAGAAGAAGAAGAAAAATTTACATACCCTGCATTCCTTCTTTTCGTACCAGGAATCGAACTCAGGACCTTGTGCTTGCCAGGCAGGCGCTTATGACACTGAGCTACATACATCCCTGGCCCTTATGTACCCTAATAAAGAAACTTCCTATAAATGTTGATATTTAACACAGAAGTCGATTCTCAAAATAATCCTGGAGTTCAACTAAAACATTTATGCTAAAACTATCTGATGTTTATAAAATCTACCTCTTTGACAGAACTCAAGATGGCAAGAGGGCAAAGTATAAAAATAAGACCTTACCTTCCTGCACTTGATAAGATGATAAGGAAACCTGCAGGCCCTGATCTGGTGGTTTTTATCATAGGGACACTGTAATAGCTTTTCAGGGTCCAGGGAGTCAACTGAAAGAGAGACAAACACATTTAAGTAACAGTACTGCATTTCAGGCACATTGGCCTTTTTTTTTTTTTTAAACAGAATCTATATGACAGATAGTAGAAAAAGTCAGTGTAAACAAAAATTAGCTCTAAAAAGGTTGACTAAACAATTAAAAAAATGTTACTCTGAGAATATAAAATTGTTACCACTGAAAGTTTTTTTTTGAAACAGTGGGGCTGGTTTTGTAGTGCAGGCTGCCTCTGAACTTGCAGCTATCCTCCTAGTTCAGCCTCTGGAGTGCTGGAATTATAAGCATGTACCACCACGCCTGGCACCACTGACTGTTAATACATCCAGAAGAACCAGCAGTCATGGGGTGAGGAATCAGTTCATATTTTGATTAAATACTGTTTTCATTTAAAAGAGGGAAGGGATCTAAAGGACGGAGGGAGAGGAGGGGAGGGGCAGAGGATGATTCAAGACATGTACATGTACCAATTCCTCATGACTGCCAGCATATGTTAATTAAAAGTTTTGTTTTTATTGTTGGTTACCCTTACCATAAAACAAAAACAAAAACAGCTAAATTAAGTGATCTTCTCTTCTCTTTTTCTAAAAGTTCTAATTCAGCCTCATTTTTATTCTCTAGCTAATCCAACCAGAGCTTCCCAATCAGTTTGCTAAAGTTGGAGTAGATTGCTGGTGTGCCAAAGTATCCACTGTAGCCCACTGCCTGTGTAAATCACCTCACCTTAATCCTCGAGACAAATCATCCTTCGGCAGGCTGAGATAAGTCAATCTCCTTTAGCATCTTTGTCTGTACTGGTATCCATGACATGAAATTGGGAAGCACCGCTCTATATTAGTTATACTATTTTATGGAAGCTTGAGAAATATTAGCGATGGGGCCAGGTGTGGTGTTGCACGCCTGTAATCCCAGCACTTGGGAGGCTGAGGCAGGAGGATCATTGCAAGTTTGAGACCAGCCTGGGCTACAATGTGAGCTCAAGGCCAGCCTGAACTGCATAGTGAGACCCTGTCTCAAAACAAACAAACAAACAAACAACAAAAAGTATTAGTGGGTAGATTTTTTTTGTCTGTTTTAATTTACTCCTATAAGTAGTTCCTGACTGTCGTGACTCTAGTTACTTCTCAAATGATACCACTACTTTTAACAGACAGGTGATTTTATCTCCCTATTTTGGAACACAGATGAGGGGAAAAACCCCCAAAGAATTCTTAATTTATTGACTACCAAACTAGCCAGATTAAAAACAAAAAATAATTTGCAAAAACAAAACTTTCTGGGGTTAAAACAACCGTAGACTTATGGAACTGCTGTGTGGAAGAAAAATCCTTAATCTAGACCATACTACTTAAAACTGCCCTCAGGACATACAAGATGCCCTGGCTGAGCCCCAAATTTTAACAACTGCAGCTAAGAAAGGGAAATTAAATGGTTAAGGGCATTTTGTGGACAAGAGGCAAATACTCCTGTCACCCCAGAGGTATTTTTTAAAGTGAAATAATTCACAATGGATAAGAAGCTTATAAACCAACAGACTGCAGTGAAAATCAGAAGCCAGCGGGGAACTGAACCAGACAGTTTTGCTGGAAGAATAGTAAACATGGAATTGCTAGCCATGATCACGATGCAAATGAGCTAGAAAGGTGACTTGAAGGACAGATGAATAGGCAGGAAAAGTCTTAAGAGGACAGGCAAGCTTATTATGCCAAGCAAGCTCTTCTTGACCAGCAATCTTTTCCTATTTGTGAAGCTTCGGGACATCCAGAGAGCATTTACAGATGAAATTCTTATTAGTTTCCCTTCATTTAATCCATTCCATCAATTGAAAATGTCAGCAGCTGACAGACTGGATGTACCGTATGATTTACACATATTACACTGCCCATGTAGTGGCATATGTCAGAGCTGGTAATGAGAGCTTCCTACCGTAACGCTTTACTTCTTGGTGTCTGGCCGTTTAGGTCAGCTCTAATCTGGCTTTCCATATTTAAAAAAAAATTTTATTTTTAATTAAAAAATTTAAAATTGTGATTAAAATACATATAAAATGCACCATTTTCATTATTTTAAGTATACAATTCAATAATGCCAAGTATATTCACACTACTGAGCGATCTCCAGAAGTTTGTATTCTCACAAACTACATTCATTACACATTAGCTCCCCAGTCCTCTCTCCTGAGGCCCTGGAAACCATCATTCTATACATTTTAGATATTTCATGTAAGTAAAATCATACATCTTTTTTTCTGTAGAGTACATCATTTCATATAATGCTCAGAGAATTCATCCATGTTAGAGCATGTGACAGAATTTCCCGTCTCCTATTTAGAAATTTGCTTTTTCCTTTTTACTAATTTTTTTGTTTTGTTTTGGTTATGCTGGAGATTGAACCCAGAGCCTGTGCATGCTATGCAAGCACTCTACCGCTGAGCTACATCCCTAGCATTTCATGTTTTTTGACGCTCCTTCCTTGTTATTATGTTTTTTATTTTATTTTATTTT